GACTGCTGATGGTGTGAACGGCGAAAACAAAGGACAAAATGCAAAGTTTTATCCTTATAAAATAGAATTTATATTTATTATAGCGAGGTTGAGGCCGAAGTTTTAAACGCAAAAACGTGTACGTCGGACGTTTAGCGCCGCTTTCCTGCAAGCCTAGAAGTTTGACAAAGGTGTTTGGAATGTCGAGCCAGGGGCGCCGCTAGCTGTTTGAACGCCCGTGTGCAATACCGATTATGCCGCCCCCTGTTTAACTACGACTACCTACGCTGAGCTTGCCAGAAAGGCTCTTTGCCGCCCCCCTGGACGTGCCGCCCGCGTGCGGTGCACGCCTTGCAGGCCCGCTTACGGCGGCCCTGTGTCAAGCATGATTCCACTGACTATCCAAACACCATTGTCAAACTTCTAGGCTTACTGGAAAGCGGCGCTGAACGTCCGATGTACACGTTTTCACATTCAAAACTTCGGCTTCAACCTCGCTTATATTTATAAAATGTTAATAATACCGGCCATGTATTTTTTTAAAATAATTTTTTACTTAAAATGTGATATTATGATTATGGCATTAACACCAGAGGACGCTTTACCTGTTTTACATTCTTTTGCAGAGGCAGTAGCCTCAAAAGAAAGGTCGTCTCCGAAGTTTTGTGAATTTATATTAATAAATAAACACACCTGATTTGTATTTGCGGAGTTAATTTTCTTTATTCGAACGTTTTCGGCCTATTTGTATAGGCCATCTTCAGGCTTTAACGTTGTTCGTTCCAATGGAATCAATAGTTCGAAATTCATTTGAATTTGAACTTTTAACAACTTATGTGTATAAATAAATAGTTAACAATAATATCAAAACGTGTTGCAACTTAACAATAACATGAAAAACGTAAATTAAAAATATAATCACGGCAACACGCTTTCTTATGCTTGGCGTTACGTATGCGAAGAACAACAAAACGATGACGATGCGTAACACGCGCATGAATTCGATTATATTTGAAAACTAAACGTTCATTCTAAAAATGGAATCCAAGTATTTTAACCTGAAGCAGGCCTCGACTGAAGCCGAAAACGTTTGTTTTTACGAATAATTTACAAGTACCGGATAATAAAGGTTTAGTAAGTGCGATTTTATTAGAATACCGGTATTCAGAGTAGAATATTTTTGATTTAAAATATAGAGGAGAAGGTGGTATTATGGAACACTGCGGGTATTATGGAACCACCCCATTTAGAACTGATAATAAAGGCGAACTGCAGCGGAATGTGGCTGAACTGAACTAGACAGACATCCATAGCACGGGGAAAACCCGTTTTACTTCAGTTAAACAGTTGTCCGTATTTAATCAGCAAATTTGTTTTTTTCAAAATTCGCAAGTTTTGAATGCTAAGTGACTTTAATTATTTTTAAAATATAAATCGTGTAGTTGTAGGTTCACTGGTGCACGTATTCCGTTCCAGAGACTTAGGGGTACATATTAATCTGTGTGATGTTCACGTTTTTTAAATTTTGGTCTCGACAGACATAAGTTAATTCGAGATGGCGATGCGTGAAATACGGACCCCATTGGTGCTTTTACAGTAATATGGAACTCAACTCCTCCGAACTTTCTATTTGCAAGCAGACATTCCTCCAGAGCAATTTGTGAAAAAGACACTAGGTAGAAAGCCAATTCTTCCCGAGAATATCGAAAAAGAGCTGCTGGAATATATATTGTTGATGGAGGTCATATTTTTCTATTATAAAAGCATTTTTGCGATAAAATACATTGGAGTAAATAATTTGGTAATTATTTAACATTTTTTGTCCTTTCCTATTTGTTTTTGGCTACATTAAAGCATTTTTTTGAAAATATACAGTAAGGTTCCATATTACCACCCGATTTTCTCTAAGCCTACTTTTTGTACAAAAGCCTTCAAAAACCATACTTATAATTACACTAGCGAAAAATCCAATTAGGAACATTTAGTTTACTAGTTACCAGTACTTTTCGCACAAAAAATGTGAGTGTAGCTATGATACCTTGTTTATAATTCACTAAAATGTAATTGGGGTTCCATAATATCACCTTCTCCTCTAATCTAAAATCGTGTTGCAACTTAACAATGAAAAAAAAAATTATATCATCTTTAACTGAGTCTGAACTACTAATTCCTAAAAACTCCAGATCATAAAAATATTTATGGATTATTAAATGATCTGGAGTTTTTAGGAATTAGTAGTTCAGACTCAGTTAAAGATGATATAATTTTTTTTTCATTGTTAAGTTGCAACACGATTTTAGATTATATTTTATCATATATTTATTTTTAATTTACGTTTTTCATGTTATTGTTAAATTAATTAAGTTGCAACACGTTTTTGATATTATTGTTAAGTATTTGTTTATACACATAAGTTCTTAAAAGTTCAAATTCAAATGAATTTCGAACTATTGATTCCATTGGAACGAACAACGTTAAAGCCTGAAGATGGCCTATACAAATAGGCTGAAAACGTTCGAATAAAGAAAATTAACTCGGCAAATACAAATCAGGTGTGCTTATTTATTAATATAAATAGCTAATATTGCTGAGAAGATATAGTTTTGTGAATTATTGAAGGACTGCTGATGGTGTGAATGGCGAAAAGAAAGGACAAAATGCAAAGTTTTATCTTTATAAAATAGAATTTACATTTATTATATTTTTAGAATTTTGAATGGTAAATTTTACAAATAAAAACATACAGCTGAAATAAGAAGGATCTTCATTACTTTTCTCAATATTTCTTGTAGTCCCTGAAAACGAAAATAACTGTGTTTAATTTTAATATTTTATAAATTTTAAAATTATAGATCTATAAATTCCCACTGTCATCGGTCTTCATGAATCTCGAGAATAGGGTTGGATGAAAGTCAAGACCAGATATAGAAATCTGGTCTTGACTTTCATCAATATAGGCTCAACCTTTGGAAACCGATGATGACCAGTTCAATTAACTGAAAATATTTCAACTTTTACGAGTGAAAATAACAATATTTTCTCTTATTTTTGACTAAGTTTTCCTCCTTTTACTAATTCGAAACTACACCCAGTGAATAAGTCTTATTTATTAACAAGTTGTACTGTATGTGGATAATATATAAACAAAAATTGAAATATTTAAGGACATGGAGGCATAAATAATTTACTGAAAGCATTTCTTCATATGCAAATTACAAGCAAGAAATTAAAAATTTAGTTTCTCAAATAGAAATTCTATTAACCACTTACTCCGACTCAGCCTCTTAAGCAATATACTAGATACACCCAACACACCTTATTGCTGAGAACATACATTTATTAAACAAAACAAACGTTTTCAACTCAATTTATGGGCCATCTTCAGTTTAACATTGTTCGACTCTAATACAAAATCGATCACGTTCAAAATTAACCAAATTAGAACATACGTTTAAATTAAACCAATAGAACATGCTTAACCACAAAAAAATAATAAATGATAAATACTAAACTAAAATATCACACAAAAAACGAAAATAAAATATGGTGATTAACCGTACATACTAAGCACCAATTCTTTCTACATTATCCCAGATATCTATTGAGTCTCTGCAGGTGTATTATTACGCGTGTTTTTTCTTACTATGTATTTCCACGATGAAGGTAACACTGTCGCATCCTTGTAATTTAAACGTCTATCCGTTAAACTTGCCCTGTATATTTCACATTTTTCAGTTATGGATGAGAGCGTTGGTGAGTGCACTTTTGCAAGGATTTTGGCATCCTCCCATTTAATAACAGAACCTTCCGCTTGTGCCATTTTGGATAATGCTGTTACACACTTATTCTTTGCGACATCGTATTTGTGTTCTTTAATTCTCACACCAAGGTTTCTGTTAGTGACCCCTACGTAGTCCTTATCAATTCCCAACTGTTCATTTTTGTATGGAATTGCATACACACCTGGCTGCTCATTATCATCCATTTTTTCTTTGTCATTTCTAATCAACCTATACACTGTGGGGGCCCTTTTGTATATTATACTGGCGTTTTTGTGTTTCGCTGTTTGCTTCATAATCGGGAATAGACATTTATTATACGTAAACTTTGCGAAGTTACCACTAGTGTCTGGTTTCTTTTTAGAGACGCTTCTAGGCTTTACGTACGTCAAAATTAAACGCTCTATAGATCTTGTTCCAAACCCTAACTCTTTTGTATTAGAGTCGAACAATGTTAATCTGTAGATGGCCCATAAATTGGGTTGAAAACATTTGTTTTGTTTAATAAATGTATGTTCTCAGCAATAAGGTGTGTTGGGTGTATCTAGTATATTGCTTAAGAGGCTGAGTCGGAGTAAGTGGTTAATTATGGCGTCACCGGTCTGTCTATATAAGAGTTATAGAAAACTTGCAGTAAGAATAGTGAAGATGGACTCCAGGTTACAATTCTTGAAGGAATGTCGGGTAAGAAGAATTTATCCAATGTCCATTTTTAGAATCAAGTTGCCTAATGAATGTATAGCAGTACAAGAAAGAGTACGAGTTCTCTGCTTAAATAATTCAATTAAACGAGTAAAGAATTTCAAGTACAGAGCCATTAAAGAAATAGTGGAACTGGAAGATANGCAGTACAAGAAAGAGTACGAGTTCTCTGCTTAAATAATTCAATTAAACGAGTAAAGAATTTCAAGTACAGAGCCATTAAAGAAATAGTGGAACTGGAAGATAGCATGTTTAAAACGAGCCCGCATTTATTGATGAGTATCAATTTAAGAGTAGTTGGGTTAACGGACCAGATAAGCATTAATTTAAGGAAGAAATACAGGAGGAAACTGCTGTGGATTTCAAAAAAGCAGCCATCCAAAGTTACGAGCATTTTGAAGCCAACCCCGTATATATTATGGGATCAGATTCAACTCCCGCAATGTGTCAAACAAGTTCTGGAAAAAGGTCCTAATTATGCACTGACAACACTAGGAACTGCAGAACTGTTGTAGCGGAAGTAGAAAGAGGAATTGTGGTATGAATGAAGTGAATAAGGACTATTTCAGATGGAAAACAGCATTCAGAACTGAAAAATACTCTAGGAGGCATAATAAAGAAGTGAACATTAACAATGCTAGGAAATGGTTGGATCATAATGATATAGTGGTCACTAGGGCAGATAAGAGTAAGCATTTGGTATTAATGAAGAAATGCAGGTACAATGAAGCCCTGGAGGATTATATAGAAAAAACAGAATGTGAAGAAGTGGACCGAGGTATAGTTGAAAGAATTGACAGAAAATTAAGGAAATTGGAAAAATCGCCCATAGCAACATTATTCCCGTTCCTAAAAGGTGCCCACATCGCCTGCCCAGGTGTACTTAGGTTGTTTGGATTTGCAAAAATACATAAAAACAGTAGAGAGATCAGACCAGTAGTAGAGAAATGTAAAGGACCGACCTACATTCTAGAAAAACGTATGCATAGGCATTTAACACAACTGTTGGAGGACTACAGATTTGTTACAAAAGACACGTTTAGTTTGGTTAATGACCTACATGATCTATCTTTAATGGACAATGAGATTAGGACGGTTATGGATTTCGAGAGTATGTTTCCATCAATAAATCTTGCCTCATGTTTTGATGAATTGGTGAACCTTTTATGTGGGTTATACCCAAAAGCATCCGAACACAGTAAAGATCTAGAGATAATGGTTGATTTGGTTTGCTTTCAGTCATTTTTCGGTTTCCAAGGTAAAGTTTATAAGCAATTAAGGGGAGTCCCGATGGGCAGCCCGATGTCTGGCCTGCTGTGTGAGTTAGTGGTTAGAAAAATGGAAAGCATGACGTTGTTCAACTACAATGAATACATAATCATGTACAGAAGATATGTAGATGATGTTCTAATTATTTGGAAGAATGACAAAATAATACAACAATTCTTGAACCTGATGAATTCTAACCAACATAAATTAAAACTTAACCTGGAGCAAGTTAGTAACAAGGAGTTGCACTTCTTGGACGTTGGTGTTGAATTTAAGAATGGAACTTTATGCACTAAAGTGTACATCAAGCCCACACATGACCCGATGTACATACCGGTGACTTCTAATGATCCAACAGTTTATAAGCTATCCGCCTTTAGGGTGCTAGTCAGAGCATTTTTGTATTGCTCGAATGTAATCAACACGATGGAAGAGCTGGGTAGGATCAAAAACGTTGCAAAAGAGTTAGGGTTTGGAACAAGATCTATAGAGCGTTTAATTTAGACGTACGTAAAGCCTAGAAGCGGCTCTAAAAAGAAACCAGACACTAGTGGTAACTTCGCAAAGTTTACGTATAATAAATGTCTCTTCCCGATTATGAAGCAAATAGCAAAACACAAAAACACCAGTATAATATACAAAAGAGCCCCCACAGTGTATAGGTTGATTAGAAATGACAAAGAAAAAATGGATGATAATGAGCAGCCAGGTGTGTATGCAATTCCATACAAAAATGAACAGTTGGGAATTGATAAGGACTACGTAGGGGTCACTAACAGAAACCTTGGTGTGAGAATTAAAGAACACAAATACGATGTCGCAAAGAATAAGTGTGTAACAGCATTATCCAAAATGGCACAAGCGGAAGGTTCTGTTATTAAATGGGAGGATGCCAAAATCCTTGCAAAAGTGCACTCACCAACGCTCTCATCCATAACTGAAAAATGTGAAATATACAGGGCAAGTTTAACGGATAGACGTTTAAATTACAAGGATGCGACAGTGTTACCTTCATCGTGGAAATACATAGTAAGAAAAAACACGTGTAATAATACACCTGCAGAGACTCAATAGATATCTGGGATAATGTAGAAAGAATTGGTGCTTAGTATGTACGGTTAATCACCATATTTTATTTTCGTTTTTTGTGTGATATTTTAGTTTAGTATTTATCATTTATTATTTTTTTGTGGTTAAGCATGTTCTATTGGTTTAATTTAAACGTATGTTCTAATTTGGTTAATTTTGAACGTGATCGATTTTGTATTAGAGTCGAACAATGTTAAACTGAAGATGGCCCATAAATTGAGTTGAAAACGTTTGTTTTGTTTAATAAATGTATGTTCTCAGCAATAAGGTGTGTTGGGTGTATCTAG